GTTCAAGTGAGCCAGAGGCAGGAAGAACCAGTTTAGCCTTCACAGCTGTGGGCCAGGAGAGATCGTGAGTTGATGGTATATTTTAACCCCGAAAGTAATTTTCCACAACAGGAACCTTGCACAGTAAAATGAGTAACAGCAAAGTATTTCTTTGCTGCCTTCTGTCTTTTCATGATAATGTGCTAACGTAACGAGGTTTGTTCATATTTTACTCAGCCAGAGTCTCATTCGTTTGCTAAGCATTGGGAATATTATGTAGATTGATCTTAAACATAAATCAGTCCTTGAGGGTGTCCTATATTTGGATTGTGATTTGTAGACTCAAGCTAATCTCATTGCCTCTTTTTCATACTTGTTGAAAAGTCTGTGAAGGACATAGTAAGTTAAGGATCTCCAACTTTGGAAAAGGCACACGATGTGAAACTGGACTGCTGTGTTAAAAATCAATTTATGATAACTAAAAAAAAGAAAAACGAAAAACAGGAAAGAGGCAGTAAGTAAAGTAATCTTCGAAGCAGTATTGTAATATGAGGAAAAAGGGTGGCTGGCTGATTCAGGCCAGTAGGCAGCCTCCTGTCGTCCTCATCAGGCCTTGGGAGATGCTCACAGTTTTTGATTCTCCAGCTCTCACTTTTTGTTTCTCTTCTCACTGAGTTAAATCTCCTGTTAGTACATTACCTTAGTTTAACTCGCTGATGTTTCTCAGATTATAGTTTATCTTGCTATATTTATGCCAGTGTTGGTTGATTCCTGCTCTCCTAATTTGTATTTGATTCTTTAACCTTATGGAATTTTGTAAATTGCAAAAGTAGAATATACCTGTCATACCAAGAAAGACAGTAGAGAAGTGTATTAAAGAAAATTAAGTCCCCCTGTGCATCCTCTGAGGTAACGTTAGAGCAACCGACCTTAAGAGCTTGGGGGGTGTGTGTATGTGTGTGTATGTGTGTGTATGTGTGTGTGTGCCTACATCTTTCCTGCAGTCAAATGCTCTTCCACTGAACTATACCCCCTCTGCTGTGTGCATCTTTCCTCATCTTTTTTTTTAATGCTCAGACAAATATTCATTTGTATGGATTTCCCCCCTCTCTCCCTCCCTTCCTCTCTTCTAAAGAAACAAGATAATTCCATTGGAAGGATATAAAAAAAAAACCCTGATAATCAGATTATCTCTAGGGAAGAAAACTGGGAGAGGTAGGAACAGAGGTGGAAGGGAGATTGCCTTTTGACTGTGTGCCCTTTTGTACTGTTTGCTTTTTCCCCTCTTTTCTTTTTACCACGGGTATGTATTATCCATTAAAAAAAAAAAATCTCTCCGCCGTCATCAATTTTCCCTGAAACATTCCCATTAGCTGCAGTGTTTCTGGTGATATTTGCCTTGCCATGAGGGAGGTGTTGGTTTTGCAATGTTGAACAACTCTTGGTGCAGTTCTGAATGAAGCAAAATACAATCTGCTTTCTATTTACATGGTAATTGCATTCTTGGGAAATTCTGTGTACATAAACACTGTGAGAAAAATGTTTTGTATTTTAGAGTTAAGCAGAGTTAAGTTTTCAACTCTGATAATTAGAAACAGCTTTTCCACCTACATGGCTGCCTGGTGGGATCTTTGAAAGCCATGAAGGATGCAGGACAGTCTGGTGCATTGCAGATATGCAACATCCTTGCCCTGCCCATTAAATGCCAGTAGGGTACCCCAATCACTCTGGCTCCCCTCTCCCCAGTGTCCAAAATGCCCTCTAGGAGACAGTGCCATTCCTTTTGAGAACCACTGCTCTAGCTGCTCTCTCTGGAAATTTCTTTCCTCAGATACTTGCAGAGCTGGTTCCTTGTCATTCCAAGCTCAGCCTAAATGTTATCTCCTGTTAGAGGGCTTGCCTGACCACCCAGTCTACACAGCCCCCATTCACTCTGCCACATCGCCCCATTTCAGTTCTCTGTATAGCATTTATCCCTATCTGCTCTTTTTCTTTTCTTGGTTTATTGTCTGTTTCCAACTACCAGAATGTAAGATCCATGAGGGAAGGGATGTTGTCTCTTGTTCACAGCTGTGTCCCCTGTGCCTGGAACACTGGCTGGCACATAGTTAGTGCTCAGTAAACATTAGTTAGATGAATGAAGGATGGAAGGAAGGAAGGAAGAAAGAAAGAAAAGAAAGAAGGAAGGAAATCTTCTTTAGTTCTACAAGTTGGAAAAGGTTAGCAGAACATAATGTCTTCACGAAATTATTTATTTAGGTCATATATGTTAAATAGCAAAAGATTAACTGGATTCACAAGATTGGTAGATTTATCAATTCCCAGTGAATAATATCAGCTTTGTCAGAAATTGGATGTTTGCCATTTTAAATTTCCAGCCACATCTGTAATTCTAAAGTGAACTCAAAGAACAGAGACTCTTTGTCCCCAGTCATCATTTTCACCATGTCTTGAGCAGCAGTTTTGGCAAGTGTGTCAACAATGACTTCAGGAGCTCTGACCTTTACAGTTAAATATAACACTATAAAGTGTGGCTTCCATAGCTTTTGCATTTCTCTCCCTTGGCACACTGTATTTAACTTTAAGCAATGCTTGAATTTCCTTCCATTCTGCTTCAAAATTTTTGATGATGTTGAGGCAGGAAGGGTTCACATCAAAATGTGTGAGCCTTTTCCTTCTTTCATTCTCTCACTCATTTATTCATTCCACAAATGTTTATTGAATACTTAACTCTGTATCAGGAACTATGTTGGGGATACGTATTTCACGTAATGGAATTTAATTTGCTCCCACTACCAGGCTATGGTAATCCAAATTTCAATGGTTTTTTATGGTAGTCACCTAATACTTTTAGTTTCTTTGCAGCTGGTATTTTTAAAGCACTAAGAGATGGTCCAGGTGATGAAATTATACACCTTTAATAGACCTAGGGCTAAACTCATCACATTTTTTTAAAATTTTGGCCACACGGCATGGGGGGTCTTAGTTCCCTGACCAGGGATTG